TTCGTGGGGGTTTGAGGTGGCACTTCGGCAAGATTGCCTAGACGTCGTTGACGCTTATGATTAGAACGATCATGACCCTTCGCGTCGTCGTGCGCACTGCACCTGTCGGCAGTAGCCCGGGAAGCTGGAGGGGCATGAGCTGAGCTCAAGCTATGGCCCTGAGCTGCTATGGTCGTAGACTCACCTCACCCGTGTGAGAAACCACAGAGCTTGCGGGAGCGTTATGGATTGTTCCATATATCGCAGGGCGACAATACGCTCAAAGTCGGGATTTTGGCAAACATAAATCTAAGATGGCGCTCAACGTGCCGAACGTGGGTACGTGCGCATGATAGTCGCCCTGTGAATGTCCTCCAATTGCTGTTTCTGTGCCTCGTCGATGCGATTGATACAATTACCACTTTCCCCAGAAACCGAGAGGTCGGGGAACGGACATGGTGTCCGCAAGGTTCTAGCTGGGCTCACGTCGCACCGATGGCGCACTTCATCCTCCTCGTCATCCCATGCTGGTAAAGGAGTGTCCGACTCAAAGTCGACTTCCTCCAACATTTCGACGAGAAAATCCGTCGCCCAGGGCCGGCGCGGTTTGTTGCGCTCGATTGTTGAGGGCTTGGGATGTGCTTCCCGTTAGTCGCGGACGTACTGTCCAAAGATGCACCCTGTGCAGAAGAAGAAGAAACACTTTGTTCGCAGACAGCCTCGGTACCAGCGAGGCTGGGTGTTTTGCGAGTCGAAGACACAGGATTCATAGAGCGCGGATAATGTTCTTCGCATGGTCTGTGCTGAGACACCGAAGCGCTGGAGCGCTATGTTACCACTCGTGGAGTTTCCTCTGAACAATGCAGTGCATTCATTTACCGTCTAAACGCCGTTCTACGTGAACGAGCTTGCTAATCCTCGCGTACCGTTGACGCCGCCATTCCGTGGCTCAGGGCTTGGCGGGGGAGGGATAGCCAAACGGCAAGCTAATATCAGTCCCCTCACCGTGTGTAAAGAAGCCGGATACTTCCTGTCCACCAGACTGAGTGCCTTACGACACGTTCGCGATGGCTGAAAGCCACGACATGCAGAAAGAATATGCTGACAGAAAAGC